TATAGCTTTTTTCGAAAGGAAAACCAGGCCGTGCGGAAAGCCGTGACCAAGAACACTGCCTTTATCGATATATTTTCATCCCTGAGTACGGAGGTGACAGCGAGCGAGGAGTTGGTTCGGTGTTTAGAATGGTTCGTTTGTTCTATATACGGGCATCCACGTATCCTCTCAGTCAATGAGGCAAGGAAGAAAGTATTTTGGAACAAGTTCAACAAGAAAAAGATCATTGACCTTTGTCTAATGCCACTATGCCAGTTTTCATCATCACATCATGAGAGTTAACTATGTCGCGTACATCTTTTGACACGCCGATCAGCTGCTAGTAGAACTTGAGAGCCCCGACGAGCATAGATGGGACGGAGATGGAAGCTTGTCTGGAGTGACATTTCTTATCCCGGGGAGATTGATGCGCTACTCGCAGGCACGGAGAGTTAGAACAGTTTGTCCTCCGATGATGACTACGAGGATGATTTGGATGTGGAAATTGAAGACACAAGTGAATTTTGAAAAGGAAAGTGCAAGGTTTGTGATCAGAATGTACATGTTTTTTAATGCAATGCATAACATGACCTCAATTTAATGGGGCAACAGTATTGCTTTTTATCAAAAAGAGAAGAAATCACTAGCTTTCTTGCTTGCTTAAGTAGGATCTTCCCAATAGTTCCACTAAATCAAGGATATGTGTATCAAACGGAGGCTAGAGGTTCCAATATATCTGCGCATATAACTTCGATTTTTGAAATTAGCGCACCGAAATTCAGCAAAATCACCAACTTCCTTGGCTATCTAAGGCACATATGTAGACACCAAAACGAGGCTGTATGCACCAAAACGAGGCTGAAGGCCTCGGTAGTTTGCTGTGTAACATCGATTTTTGAAATCAGCGCACCGAAATTGACCAAGATCACCAACGACTTTGCCTATCTAAGCGAGCTAATGATTTCCATCTATTTGCACCAAAACGAGGCTGCATGCACCAAAACGAGGCTGAAGGCCTTGGTATTCCCCCGTGTAACATCGATTTTTGAAATCAGCGCACCGAAATTGACCAAAATCACTGGTTTCCCTAGCTAACTAAGACAACTAACGTGTTCCCTATATATGCCCCAAAACGAGGCTGTATGCATCAAAACGAGGCTGAAGGCACCGGTATTGGCCCGTGTAACATCAATCTCGTTGCCAGAGTATGCCTGTTCGCGGGTTACCCGCGAACAGGCATACTCTGGGAACGAGATTGGTATAACATCGATTTTTGAAATCAGCGCCCCAAAATTGACCAAAGGCACATATTCTCATAAATTCCCTATTTCGGGTTACGATACCCCCCTTCTCCTCCTGGACTATAATATTCGCACAGATATAGTCGAATAAAAGTCGTATGTTTATGTTGCATTAAACTTTCTAATTAGGGAGCATTCATTTTTTAGCTGGGGGGGTGGGCCGGAGGAATTTGGGGGTGGGTCAGCAAATTTTGACATGCTTCAAAGGGGTGGGTCTTTTTATAGTTTTGGTATAAATGGAGGGGGTCATAAAAATAATCAGTGAAAAAGTCACCAATATAATTTTATAGAATTTGGAAATATTTGGATGAAGAATGGTAAAAAGATCTAGAAACTATCAACTATCTCGTCATCTATAACAAAGAAGCAAAATTCATTTGACATTCTGTTCACACAGTCCATAGGAACACATTTCCATGAGTTCGTCAATTGACTTCGTTTTTATCCGTTTTTGTGTGAAAACATGAATGAAAAAAAAAACGCAGGACCGTAGCATGATTTCAAAATCATGCATGGTTTCAAGATCTGCATGCATTTCATCATGACATTTATCAATTTTAGGCTTTATTAATTTTAAGCGGCTACATTATCCATGACAAACTGCAAAGAATGAAGATAGTACCCACAGTTTCTTGCAACTTATCCTAGTTATCCAATATATAGTTAATTAAATACGCGTTCGCCCATTCAGTACTACCAAATTGTCAATTTCGACATACTAAAACGCTGTTTTCTGACCATCAGAATTCTGTCAAATCTTCCCCAAAGTCCAGGAAATGGCATTTCAGAGACTCTAGATTTAAAAATTTCCTCGGGCCTTCGGCCCTCGCTTTCAGCCCCCCAATCAAACAGAGCTTTCTACGGCCTGGAAACGCTACGGAAACGACACCGTGTGGATTATTAATAGTTAGGATGAGGGGTCAAAAAATTTTTCAGTAAAAAAAATAGGGGTTCATAATTTTTTATCAATTTTTCTCTTGGGGGTTCCAAGTTTTAGCATGGAATTAGACATCAATTCCTCCGGCCCACCCCCCTAGCTAAAAAATGAATGCTCCCTTATAATTCTGGTTTCAAATTTTGTTTACATTGTGTGATTTTGACCCCGTCGTTTAGACAACGTTTTCTCGCTCAATATTGTAGCTACAGGAATATAGCTCCCGCTAAGGGAAAGTACATTTATTACACCGAGAGAGGGGGATGAAGATGTCTTGAAAAAAGCTCATATTTTTACAGGGCCCCTGTTGAGGTTATCGGTAAATTTCGATGCCCCCCCTACAAGTTTTTAAAATTTTCAATGCCCCCCCCCCCTTCTAGAATTCGGAATCGAAGGAGTACAATCCGGAATTCTCTCTTAGGGAAGCCTCACATATCGATTTTTTCCACGAGAAACGTCATATGTTCGTTTGGGGGTGGGGGGGTTGGCAGCTGTGACGTTTCTCTGTAAACAACATGGAAAAAATCGATAGTTTTTATCTTTGCAGAGTATAAAAAAGAAAACAATTTGATACAAACAGCAGTCTATATATTCGTAATACCATACCTGTTCTATACCTATACATTTATATTATTACGCCTTCCTTGCATTGAAAACACTCAAATTTCAAGAAAAACGCGCCAAAATTATCAATATTTCATGCAAAAAAAGTTGTTTTGAGAAACGTTGGAAATTTTGAAGTTCACATATATATTAATAAAAAAAAGTATGTCAGCAGAAGATGACATATTCCTCGCGGAAGCATCGCCAATAGCCGACCGAAAAAAATAGTAGAAAATTACCTTATGTGTACTATATTAAAAGAACAATATATCGATAATTATGTGTGACGTTTCTAAGGGGGGGTGGGGGGGGGGGTCTCCAGAGAAACGAACATATGACGTTTCTCGTGGACAAAATCGATATGTGAGGCTTCCCTAAGTAACTTGTGAATTACGCCAATGTAACGAATTGAAAAAATTTAATGTCAAAATGCTGAAAGAAATCTGCAGCGAATTAGAAGTACATATATATATATATATATATATATATATATATATATATATATATATATATATATATATATATATATATATATATATATATATATATATATATCGCAGAACAGCTATTTGTATCCGGTTTTTTATATATATAGCCTCTTTGGGTACTTATAATGTAGAATAATGAGAAAAATTTCTCGAACTCAAATTTTGTGAACCAGGGGTGTGTGTCTTTTCCAACAAACTAAAAATGGCTCGCGCACAAAATTTAAAAGCTGCAATCATATTTTGAGTTAACAGATGGAAAATTTGTCGGGATTTTAATTATTGTACAAAATTTCAAACAATTTGGTTTGGTTTAAGCCCCTTAACTATTCACGCAAAGTTACAATTTTCCCGAAAAATCAGCTATTTGCATGCTTAATTAATGCATTTTGCCTAATTTGCATATGTCAGCAATATGCAAATTAGGTAAAGGTATTAATTAAGCATGCGAAAGGCTGACTTTTTAGAACAAAATGAATAGTTAAAGGGGGCTTAAACTAAACCAAATTGTCTGAAATTTTGTACAGTAATTAAAAACCCGACAAATTTTCAATCTATCAACTCAAAATATTATTACAGCTTTTAAACTTTGTGCGCGAGCCATTTTTAGTTTGTTGGAAAAGACACACCCCCTGGTTCACAAAATTTGAGTTCGAGAATTTTTTTTCATTATTTTACATTATAAGTACCCAAAGAAGCTATATATATAAAAAACAGATTCAAATAGGTGTTTTGCGAAATTGAGAGCAATTTCAAATCTGTTCAGTTTTTTTTATACACCCTGTATAGCCATTTCCTAGAAGGCATAGCATAGCTACAAGTAGCTACAGGCAATTATTGTGGCTTTTTTCCGAAGAAATAAACGATTTGCATGGGTTCACAATCCGCAATCCGCATCCGTAATCCGCATCCGCAATCCGCATCCGTAATCCGCATCCGCAATCCGCTACCCGTAAAGTTTACCATGCCATTTGAACGAAGTTAGAGGGTTAGGTTAAAACGCGGAAGCGGATGCGGAACGGATGCGGAACGGATATGGGGTTAAAATGCGGAACGGAACGGATATGGGGTTAAAATGCGGAACGGAACGGATATGCGGAACGGAACGGATATGGGGTTAAAATGCGGAACGGAACGGAAATGCGAAACGGAATGAAAAATCATGTCTGTTTTTAAAAAACGTTTTATTCCCGTTCCGTTCCGCGTTTTAACCCCATATCCGTTCCGTTCCGCATATCCGTTCCGTTCCGCATTTTAACCCCATATCCGTTCCGTTCCGCATATCCTTTCCGTTCCGCATTTTAACCCCATATCCGTTCCGTATATCCGTTCCGTTCCGCATTTTAACCCCATATCCGTTCCTTTCCGTTCCGCATATCCGTTCCGTTCCGCATTTTAACTCCATATCCGTTCCGCATCCGTTCCGTTCCGCATCCGCGTTTTAACCTAACCCCTAAGTTAGACGAGATGAAATTAAATCCTTAATTAAGTTACAACCGTACAACGTCATCACGGCATCAGCACATAAAGGACCGGTCATTATTTAGGGAAGGGGGGGAGGGAAAAAATGAGGGGGGGGCCATATGTATAAATAAATGACTAGAAGGGGGGGCTATTAAATTTTTCAAGAAAATGAGGAGGGGGGGGGGTGCAATTAAATTTGAAGGAATTTGCTTAATAAGCATGGTATCCATTTGGTTGTAATTGAATTGAATTGAATTGAATTTATTTCCAAGTATGTTTATAATACATTACATTTCCCGAGTTATAATATTTATTTATGTTTACATATTTGGAAGAAGGACTATAATAAACCCAAAAGGCTTTTGCCAGTAGTCCTCCTTGAGATAATACTTAGCTATAATGTTAATATATGTCTATTTCTAATATCTATCAGGTAAACATTGCGGTTCATCAGTTCAATTGGAGTACATATAGTTAAATTATATGCGGAACAATTACTAAATACATTCTATATAATCGTACTCTAAAAGTTGTTTTTTATTCCCTAGTGTACACTAATCATTATGTTTCTAATTTTATTCTATATAACATGACGTTATAGTTTGTCTTGAGACAACAAATATATTTTCATTTCGTTTTGAATTTCTTTTTTGTACATGAATCTTTTATTTTTTTGGTATTCCATTCCATATTTCTATTCCCGTATATTTTATTGAAAACATTCCATAATTTGTTCTATTGCCTTTTTTATGGATCAAATTTGTACTTCTTGTATTATGCTTATGAATTTCGCTATTCAAAGTGAAATAGTTGTCAAAAAAGGTAGGTAAATTTCCTTTTGCGTAATCGTACATAAAAAGGCTTGCAAACTAATTGCGACTAAATCATGGTCACTGGTGTGAAATAGTCTGGATTTATCTTGTCTTCTGTGTGCTGTATGCAAATCAGTCTTTACTGATTGCAGAGATAAATTGACAATGTATTATTACATCAGCTATCTTGATGTGGTTAAATACATTTAAGCAAGGTTAACAGCGAATGTACTATGCAGGCCACATCCACTGATGGGAGTCTGTGACGTCATATCGATTAAAGGGGGTTGTTTCGCGCCTTGTGATCAGTGCGTCGGTCTGGATATTCATACTGCCATTGTATGCTTTGCCTAGCTGCAACAAGTTTAGCGCTTAGATACCTTTCCCCTACCCACCCCACCCACCCATGTTTATTCTAGAGGATTTTATCTGGTAGTAGGTCATTTTATTTTATATAATTTTTAATCTCACATAAAATAGGATGTATAGACCACTATACATTATATTTTGTTTCCACTGACTTGTCAGTGTGACCAGTAGCGTAGCCAGCCCGACTATTTGGTCCCGCTATGCAAATATTTTCATGTTCATTGACTGTGAAAACAATCAATTTCTAAAGAAATGAATAATGATAATAATTTTGAATTTGCATAGCGGGAC